TATATATATATATATATATATATATATATATATATATATATATATATATATATATATATATATATATGTTTAATGTTTTTGGAGGGCCGTAACTTGGGTATTACGGCTGGGGGAGGGGTTGCGCTTGTCTGCCCGACCGAAAGGGCGTGGCGGAAGTCGTGCCGACGGACGTATCAGTCGCTAATTAAAATTGTTGGCGAGCGCGGGGGAGACATGTTGATGATGATGATGATAAACTTTATTTAAAAATCACACGCTAGTTTCGTCAACTTTCGCTGATTTCCACGAGGGGCGTGTCAATTACATTATAAATAGTAGCAAACATTAAAAATGAACATATTTACAATAGTCAACTTAATATTATACCATAATAATTATATTTACATTATATTATGAGAAATTGTGAGCACTAATTCGACTTTTAAATATTGGCAAGGTATAGCCGAATCACGCAAATCTTCAGGTAAGGAATTCCACAATTTCGCCCCATCGTAAGAAAAACTTTTCTTAATATTTTCAGTCCTGGGAAAAGGGATTTGCAGTGATGTAGAGGAACCCCTAAGCTCGTAATCTGTGACATCACTTTTACGCATAAAAAGATTAACAAGTGCATTTGGGGCCAAATCATTTAAAACTTTGTACATTTGTACTGCTTTAGACTTAGCTCGTTGAGACTCAAGAGTTTCCCACCCTAAGGCAGTAATTGCTTCTAATCCAGGGGTATCATTTGTCATACCCATTACTCTTCTCGCCGCTCTATTCTGCAGTTTTTGAAGTCGAGTTGAAAGGCCAATGCCCAAGGTATCCCATACCTCACTGCAATAATCGAAATGAGGGCGAACTAAAGCATTGTAGATAGAGATCAAGGTTTCCCTATCGACAAAGTCACGTATTCTTCTTAAAGCTCCTACACCGGAAGTAACCTTCTTGGCCACGCTTTCAACATGCTTGTTCCAAGACAATTTTTCATCAATTTGAACCCCAAGTAATCTACTATGATGAACTTGCTTAATTTTGTCTTGATCTATTTTTATATTTGGTTGATTAGTAAGGTTCTTTAATTAATGTATGATTTGAACCAATAAGTATAAATTCGGTTTTTGAAGCATTGAGACTCAGTTTGTTGGCTAAAAGCCAGGTATGTACACTAAGGAGATCATTATTCATGGCCAACTCAACTTCCTCTATTGACTCACCAGCTACCGTAAGATTGGTGTCACCGGCAAATAGCCGACGGGCAGCTTCATGAAGACATTCTGGAAGATCATTTATATATAAGAGGAAGAGAAGTGGACCAAGGATGGATCCCTGTGGAATACCGCATGTCACATGCCGCTGAGATGACATTACGTCTCCCAGTTGACATTTCTGTTTGCGATCAGACAAGTATGATTGTATCATGGTTAAGGCACTACCATTGATACCGTATAGCTCAAGTTTTCGCACCAAAATATCATGGTTTACAGTATCAAAGGCCTTTTTTAAATCCAATAATACAACCAGATTAAACATTTTGCGGTCCATATTAACGTACCAACTGTTCATGCAATCCAAAAGAGCCGAAGCAGTTGAATGAGATTTGCGGAAACCAAATTGGTGTTCAGAAAGGATCGAATTGTCGTTAAGGTATTCATATATCTGATCATACATAATTCTTTCCATAACTTTATTTATTATATACATGACAAAATTACTGCAATCTGATTGGTTAAGAGGAGTGCAATTATTTCATTAATTGCACTCTCCAGGAGTGCAATTAATGATTTTTGTGATGGCTGGGGAACGGGAAATCAAAACAACAAAATCCAATATGGCGGCGAAATTTAGATAAGTATTTCGAACAAATGTGGACGAATTTAACTGAATTTTGGCACAAGAATGAGTTTAAGAAACATTGTATGGCAAAAAGAGCCTGTGGAAAATACCTGGAAACATTCTTAAGAAATAATCTTGGCGGGATGCAGCGAAACGTGACTATGCATGTAAGTTTGAAATTACTTGGTCTAAAATATGTTGTTTGAGTTTGAATTTCTTGGTCTAAAATATGTTGTTTGAGTTTGAATCCTGTGTTCTAGTTTAAGTTATGTGCCTTTATAAGTTTATAATCATTTCCCGGGTTTGTTACCAAATTGCTTACAAAAGTATTAAAAACTCTTGACAAAATGCAGTTGAAATATAAAGAAAGCGATTTTGTCATGCATATAATAAATAAATAATCACACGGGCAAGTCGTGCAATTAATGATTAACACTACGAGTGATATTTGAAAAATGTGCCAAAATTGCACGAGCCGCCGAGGCGAGTGCAATTTGGCACATTTTTCAAATATCACTCCTTCCCGTGTGATTACCTATACTTATTGCAGGTAAGATTGAGATTGGCCTATAGTTTTCTGCGAGATCTCGTGGACCCTTGTTATGAAGTGGTAGAAGTCTAGCAGCTTTCCATTCATATGTAAAACAGCTTGTTATGATAGCATGATTAAAGATGTGTGTGAGTGATAAGGCAATAGTAGGGGCTGCAGTTTTTAAAATCTTTCCAGATATTTTATCAAGACCAGTTGCTTTCGAATTGGATAAACCATTTAGAAGCTTGACTACTTTAGTATGTGAAACTAACTTAAAGCGTGTCATTTTTGATGTAGCTGGTTTGACGAAACGATCAAACGTAATGTCAGTATCATCAATAGAACTAGCTAAGTTAGGGCCAATGTCAGTAAAATATGTATTAAAAGCATTGGCAATTTCTTCAGGTGAGGTAATTTTTGTATCATTAAACTTTAATTCATTAACAACGGTATTACCTGGAGAACGACCGAGTAAGTTATTGATTGTCTTCCAAGCTTCTTTTGGATTATTATTTTGATTTGATATTTTAGTGCGAAAATAATCTGTTTTAGCTTGTCGTAGGGCAATATTGACCTTATTCCTAGTTGATTTGTACTTATCCCAAGCAGCATGGGTACCAGTCACCATTGCCTCACGCTTTAATTTATTTCTTTCAAAGATAATTTTTTTAATTTCCCCAGTCAGTCACGGAACGCCAGATTTTCTTTTTCTAATACGCTGAACAGGGGCATGCTTATCCAAGACTTCCAAAAATAACTTTTTCCAAAGGGCCCACATGGAATCAGTATATGATTCCAGAACAATTTGCTCCCATGCATGGCTGAGCTAGAAGATCCTCTCTAAAAGAGTTATAGTTAAGGGGAGGGGGAGAAAAAATATTTCGGACATACTATTTTTCACTAACTTGAAATTTGTACCATTTTCCCGTAACAGTTTCGTATATTTATCAAATTCCTTTGTCCTGGTGAACTGTCCTTGAAGAAAAGGCCTTTCAATTTCAGTCTTTAAATTTTCCACGAAGTATGAATGATTCCAGGAACTGTTTAACATATGAACAAACGAAATATGTGAAAACACATTCCAGTGGTTGGAATCCTGCTATTTTTCTTTGTGCGTCACAAATAACCCATGAATTTCACTTTAATTATATGTGGGAAATTTGAGAGAAAGAGCTTCAAAGGGACTTTTTCAAAGGCTTTCTCTTTCTGCTTTATCTTTCGTGTGCGATAATTCACCCGCTTCCCACACATATTTTATGCGTTATGGGCCAATTGTTATCCAGACCACAGACATCACGAAATCCAGTCGAACAAAGATCATTTAACGAGACCAGACAGTTTGTTGCTGAACATGGCGTGGATGGCATTGGTGGATTTTACAGAAAACAACTCGAAGCTTGGAGGGATGTAACGCTGAATTTTCTCGTGACGGGAGCTAGCGGTAGTGGAAAGTCCACTTTTGTCAATGCCATAAGAGGGTAATGTATCTTCAATTATTTTTGGAAAAAGAACCCATGCACCCATATTAATCCCTATAAGGTTCTGTAGTACAATGGCATAGACCATAGTTGATTGCTAGTCAGAATCGCAAAATTAGGCTTTATACTGTGTGTGACAAGAAAAATCTGGTCTGTCATATATTACGAGTCTATGTATTTTTACACACATGACCTTTCTTTCACCACATTGCATCCGAAAGTAACATGGGAGAAGAGTGCTCAAACTACCATAACGAAAGTACGAGCTTCCTACTATACTGCTTTGGGTATAATATTTTGCCTCATCTCTGTAAAAAGCCGATTTACACTACACAACTGTCGCATACAACCTGCTCACAACCCGAGTTGTACTGTGACTGTGTAAATGAAGCACACAACTCATCTATACGACAACGTATAAGCGAGTTGTTTTGATTTCAATACATGTACAGTACAACTGAAGTTATAAGCAGGTTGTATGCGACAGTTTCAATCAAAGGTTGTATAGTGTAAATCGGTCTTAACATGCACAGTGTGTCTTAAGGCTGACTAGCAGTATTATACAGTTTCAGTTTTTAAAAATTCGAGTGGAAAAATTACGATTTAGTATACCGTATTGACAATTATGTACTAGATAAACTACATGAGCAGCCGATCTTTACCTGATATAAAAACTCGAGCCAAAGGCGAGAGTTTGTATATCAGATAAAGATCGGATGCAAATGTTTTATCGTGCTTAATTATAAATTTCGAGTTTTCGAAATTAATTTAAAATAGGTAAACGTGATTATTTATAATATTTTTTGAGTCAGCAGAACATTTTTGCATGCGCAAAATCTTCAACCGCTGATGCAATACAATATAACACTCGACCTCGTATATCTCATAATAAAATAGATACAATGTGTCTTGCACCACTGCAATAATGCACAGTTATTATTAAGGCGAATTTCATTTATACCAAGGCGTCTGCATGCAGGTTCGAGCCTGCTTGTTGGTAGCACAGTAACCACTTTTTTATTTTTCAGTATATATATGAATGTGTTCCTTGGGTCGCCAAACTGTAAATGGGTATTTAGGTAGTCCAAGAACCAAAAAGTGGTACGGTACCAAAAATTGAGCGTATAGTGTAAACGGGGCTTAGCTAAATAGGTAGTCCAAGAACCAAAAAAGTGGTACGGGTACCAATTTTATCCGTGCCGTAACAAAAATTGAGCGTAGTGCAGTAAACGGGGCTTAAGTAGCCTGTTAGCGCACATGTATAGTCACGCTAAAGTAGGGTTACCTTTTTATACACCCTGCTGGCCTGCGTGCATATGTATTAATGTCGATTGAGTTTGTCGTCCTGTGTACTTGCTTGAATATAATTGTTTTATATTTTACAATCCTGCATAACTTGAGCTAAATATAAGAATGAAAAGATAAAAGTTAGTACCACTGAAATCATTGTTTTTAATTTAATATTATTTTGAGAAAACAATGCATGTCAATCAAGTAACAAGTATAATTACTCGATGCTCGCGATCGGCTTTACCTTTAAAAATACAGGCATCGATCGGGCGCCTCGGACTGCATTTGACTAAATGCATCGGTTCTCGGAATTAGCTCTTAGTTAACGGATAAGTTAAGAGTTTGTATACAGAATAAGTTGAATGAAAATTATAAATAGAGAATAGTAAATGGGTGCGCAGAAATACCAGATTTATTTCCATTGTTGAACATGATACAGAAAAGCGATAATTGAAAAGCGATAATTTTCACATGTGAAATTATCTTCAAAAACTCATTAATAACTCATGAAGCAATTATCCAATCTTGAGTAAGAAATTAGTCACGTGCATACGTCTTTATACCAGCTAAAGAACACTTTAACAAAAGACCATTGTTATGCAAACTATATAAAGATTTTTATATAAAGATTTTTATATAAAGATTTGACTTATTATATGCATACGTTTTTGAAGCCAATTAAAAAACTTGCAAGTCGTGTTTTATTAGGTCTAAAGCCACTCGCGCTGCGCGCTCGTGGCTTTAAACCTAATAAAACACTCCTGCTCGTTTTTTAAATAGTACTTAAAATACTCATTAATAATTCATAAACCTTGTGACAAATCATGTCAGCCATAATGTGTCACGTGGAGTGACTTTAGTATCTGATAAAGCATGTGGCATTATATAATTGTTCATCCTAATTAGTATGATTATATAATGGTTCATCCTAATTAGTATTCTTTTGTAGTCGTATTTTAAGCTATTCAAAATACTCGTTGTCGTGTTTTATCAGACATAAAACGCTCGGCTGCGCCTCGCGTTTTATATCTGATAAAACACTCCTACTCATGTTTTAAATATAGTACATAAATAATCTCACATGTGATATTATCAGTTTTATCAGTGCTCGAAATCTCTATAAAGCACTATACTTTATATAATAACTTACACTAATCTTTTTTAGCCTTAATGATCACGAGGAAGGTTCAGCAAAAGTAGGTGTTTGCGAAATGACTGACAAACCTGCTAAATACCGTCACCCTTCTAACCCGAGAATCTTCTTCTGGGATGTACCCGGCATCGGAACACCACGATACCCAAATATTGAAGCATACTGCGACGAAATCGATCTAGAAATGTACGACGCCTTTCTTTTTGTCAGCAATAAACGATTCACGGCTTATGACTTGCAGTTAGTTGAAAAAGCCAAATCCATTGAGAAGCCATTCTTTTTTATCCGCTCACAGATTGATTCTGATCTAGATAATGAGCGCAAAAGCAGAGAAAGAGGTGGGCTGGAATTCAATAAAGAACAACTGTTGGCAGCAGTGGAAAAGATGAGAGATAATTGTTTTACAAATTTGCAATCGTTGTCAACAAAAAAAAATGGTATGAAAAAAAATGATGTCTTCGTTATTGATAGTTATTCTCCAGAGAAATGGGACTTTAATCGTTTGGTCGCTGGTATCACCGATGCGCTGCCTGAACGAAGAAGAGAGTGTTTCACACTTTCTTTAACAAACCTAACACGTGAATGCTTGAAAAGAAAAGCCAAAGTGCTTAGAGGTAAGATACATGTATCTTCTAACTAACTAACTAACTAACTAACTAACTAACTAACTAACTATGAACTAACTAACTATGAACTAACTAACTAACTAACTAAAGCCCCGTCGTTTACACTACGCTCAATTTTTGGTACGGCACAGATAAAATTGGTACCCGTACCACTGTTTTGGTTCTTGGACTACCTATTTAGGTAGTGGTACGGTACCAAAAATCGAGCGTAGTGTAAACGGG